CCCTGACTCTCCCTTGTCCTTTATCCCCACTCCTATTAGTCCCTATCCTTCCTCTAAATAATCCCCCTTCCATTTTCTGTATTGTCTGTATGTATTTAAATATAGGTTCCACATGAGAGAAAACAGCAATATTTGTCCTCCTTTTTCCCCTTCTAGTATCCTTTCTTGTCCTCCCCTCCTCCTTCCCTTTAGTCCCTTTCCTCGCCTCATAACCCCTTTCTACTGTAGTATACAGATCCACATATGTATGTAAATCCAGATTTCCATATGAGAGAAAACATGAAACATTCATCATTCTGAGTCTGGTTTATTTCTCTTAACGTGATGATCTCTAGTTTAGGGTAGGTCTTTTTTACTCTGGTCACTGATTAAATACTAATCTTTTCTGACACCCAGAAATAATGTTTCACCAGCTACTGGCGTCCCTTAGCCTAGTTAAGTTGACTTGTAAAATTAACCATTGCAAAGCATGCATGAAGTATATTCAGAGTGCGGTCTATGCCCGAGATCACATGAGATGTTTTTAGTATTTATTGTAATCTCACTGTCCTGTGCTTACTCCTGGGCTCTTCTGTACCTTTGCCCTCACTGTCTTTAGATTATGTTTGAAGACAAGCTCCCCATTGTTGGCACATTTCACAGTGAACTCAGGGACGCACTGTGAAAGGACACAATAGCAAAGTGTTGTATTAGCCTACAATTTTCTACTTCAAATAATTGAAAGAACTCTTCAGTCACTCTACATATACAAAATGATGAGGAGTGCACAAGGATATTTAAACCTGACAGACGAGCACGGTGGCATACACCTGTAATCTCAGCATTCAGTAGGCACTCAGAGGATTACAAGTTTGAGGCCAGCTTGGTTTGCATAGCAAGTTGCAAGCCATCCAGGGTTTCATAGGGAAACCCCATCCCAATAAAATAAAAAAGAATATCAAGCATAATAATAACCATCAAAAAGTGAGGCTATAGTCAATAAGACTATAAAACTTAAATTACTGAATAATTTTCAATGTAGGAACAATGACAGAAACTTAATTTTAGAAATTGTTACAAAGCCTAGAATTATGCTATCAAATAATAGTAAAATTACAATCCTTTCCATTGTTTTATTCCATTCTAACTTCAAATGATTACGGTAGATGCCTCTTCCATTCTATACATATTTTTTGAGACCCTACTGTACTAAGTGCTGGGTTTACACAGCTAAAGCATCTGATTTGGAGTCATTAATACTGCAATAAATTATGAAAGGATGGATTTAGGAAGGCTGGAAGAGATGCAGCAGAAAGCAGAAGAGAGGAGAGAAGTGCGTAGGGAAGGTAGGAACACAGCTCTATCTGGAAAAGGCCTTCTCACTCCACTAATTGCATGATACACAGATTGCAGAAAATATCACCAGTCTCCAAGGCCCTGCAGTACCTACCCAGCTGCTCGTTCCAAATGAGAAGTCAGCTCTAGGAGTTGTGGACTTATGGGGCCCTGAGGAGTTTCTCTGAAGGTCATGTACAACCAAGCAAAATCACTCCAGTTTCCAACCAGAACTAGACAAACTAAAGCCCTGGACACCATCCTGACACAGGGGAGGAGAGTAAAGGAGCTTTAGGGACCCAGAGGCCCAGGAGAGATGAGCCACTAGAAGCATCCAGTTCTATCGCCAGTCTCCCAAACTGAACTTGACAATTTCCGCATTCAGCTACTGTAATATATTTACAGTGACAATAGACAACTCTTGAGAAATTCTCTTTAAATTTTAATTTTCATAAATACTGATAATAATTGATGGGCCACTGTCACACTTTCCCTGCAAAAGATAAAACAGAGAACACACAAGGAAACAGACCACAGTAAGATGCAGGTGCCTGGTAAGCCTCTGCAAATGGGAGTAACTGGTTCCCACATCCCAGCCTCTTGGAGCAAGAGATTATGATCATGTCTTAGAAACTTAAATGCCCAAGTCAAACCTTTTCCAGGTCATTTTTTAATAATTAATGGTGCCCAAGAATGATCTAGCAAATAGTCAAAGCCAAGAAAGTTACACCTAAAAAATGCCAAGTGTCTAATTTATATATTTATGTTGGTTGCCATGTTTTGATTTAAACCTAGTGGCTAAAGGTCATATAAAGTGAGAATATAGCATGAAGCCTTAGAGATGAGATACAGCTTCACATATGAGTTCCTGGGGTCATGAACAACATCTGACCTCCCCAACCCTTAACTTCTCAACACTAAAATAGCACCCGAAATAATGCCTACTTCCCGTGTGATAGTGAGGATGAATGCAACATTTTGTGCTGAAACACTGTACCACAGGGATATCTAAACCCAGGAACCATTTAGAGCCCTTGATAATCCTTACCTCGAACATACTGACTGCTTGTTACAAGTATTCAATAAATGCTTGTTGACTGACTGATGGAAATGAGTAAATGATCCTACAGTTGACTGAAATGCCCTGACTGAATTGTTGTACTATTGATGAGTAAGTGCATGTAATTCTTAAAGGTAACAAGTCATCAGGGAAGCAAGCCAGACACTGGAAAGGTATAAAACTGTAACTGAAATAGTTTGCTACCTTAATCAACTAGCTACCCTGGGCCACAGGGTCCTCAAATTCGGAGATGAAGAATGACAAAAGGTCGAATACCCTGAAGAGATAGAGGATATACACTGTGCACTGTCAAATGTTGCAGCTGCCATGGGACGCTCTTGAGAACGTTAACATAGAATCACCATATGACCCAGAAATTCCTCTTCTGGATTTCTATTCAGGGGAACTAAAAATAGAGCCTCAAAGAGATATTTGCAAACCCATGTTCCTAACAGCACTATTCATAGCAGTCAAGAGTTAGAAGCAACCCAAATACAGATGAATAGATAAACCAAATGTGGTATTTAAATACAGTGAAGTATTATTGAGCCTTTAAAAAGAAAAAAGTTCTGGCACATGCTACAACACAGATCAACACTGAGGACATTATGCAAAGTGAAGTAATCCAGCTATAAAAACAAATACTGTGATTCCACTTGTATGAGATTCCTAGAGTAGTCAGATTTGTAGAAACAGATGGTAGAGTGATGGTTTCCAAAGACTGGGGAAAAGGAAAATAGGAGTTATTGTTTGATGAATATTTTCAGTTTTGTGAAATGGAAATGTCCTGGAGTAAATGGTACAGAAGCATAAATATTACTGAACTTTACACTGGGTATGGCCAAGATGGTAAATTTTCTGTCATGGACTTTTTTAAAAACAATAGTTTTCTTAATTTAGGAAAAGATAAAAAGGAAGGCAGGGCTATATAAACCTGGCCCTGAATGGAAAATAGGGTTTGTATTATAAGCAAAAGATGGAGTTCTCTTAGATTGTTAAATTCGAAGTATCTGTTCAACAGGAATATGTAGGAAGCTCAGAATGCAACAGAACTGGGGACAAAAGTATAGAGTTTGTCAGTACACTCTGCCTTCATAGAGTTGTGTGACCTTGTGCATAGAGAATGAATAAAGACCTGAAAAAGTGAAGGGTAGATCCACACTGCATCTTCAGAAGGGAGGGGAGTGGACATAGAGATGAGGAAGAAGAGCAGCAGCCAAAAAGACAGAGGGACATACTGTCACAAAACAGCCACTTCCCTACCACAGTGGTCATATGGGTGTAGTAGGTGGGTCTTCCAGTACTCCCCTTCCTCACATAGGGACTCTTAAGTAGTGGTTCATGGATGCTTCAGACAGGATTCAAGAATGTGCAAATTAGGGGCTGGAGAGATGGCACAGCGGTTAAGAACACTGACTGTTCTTGCAGAACACCCGGGTTTGAATCCCAGCACCCACATGGCAGCTAACAACTGTCTGTAACTCCAGTTCCAGGGGATCCGACAGCCTCTTCTGTCCTCCTCGGGCATTGCACGACACAGGTGCACTTACCTACATGCAAGCATAACACTCATACACATAAAATAAAAATAGTAAATAAAATATATTAAAAAAAGAACGTGCAAATCAATGAGATACAGGCAAGGGGTTTGGAGATTGAGTTAAATGGTAGAGTGCTTGCCTAGAAAGTATTGGACCCTGGGGTGGTCCATAGCAGGGAGAAAGGAGGCTGGCCGGACTGGGGAAAGAACGAAAGGGACAAAGGGAATAAAGCTAAGCAAAATGAGGAAATCTAGGCAAATATGTGAATGTATTTTTCTTCTGGGAAGAATTTCTGTGATCTGGTAAAAGTTCCCTGTGTCAGAGCATATGGTGTCAAAATCCAGTATTTTTTCTGCCTTGATTTCACTTAAATTATGAGTGTGATTCCTTTTTGTGGGCTAGTTTGAGGCCCTAATTACAATTTATACTGTTTCTCCCATGAGAAGATGTTACTCAATTTCAGAAGTGACATGTAGATGAATTCCTATGACACAGTGCATTTAAGTTGAAATGTAGTGTTTACAGCTAAATTTCAATGATTAGTCAATAAGTGAGCACAGGACACACAATAAAAATCATCCCAAAGTCATAGACATGGTCTTACTAGTGCTAATACAGTGTGGGTGGCAGGTTTCAGCATCTGCCCTGCATCCCCTCACATCGTGAACATTCAGAAAAAAAATGTTCCCTGTACTCAGTTTTGTCTATGTCATGTCTGTATGTGTTTTTCTCTTTCTAAGCTAATTCATAGTTGTTGGATATTATACAATCTAAAAATGAGTTTTACTTACAATTTTTTTATATTTTCAGTAGACTTTTACATTTAGCCTTTTCCCTACTGGTATTACATGCAGGATGGACATTTTTCATGTTTGAATTAAATCATCCTAATTGAATTTCTGTATCTTTGTAAATTTTATAAATTCACTAGAATAAATCTGAATAAACACAGTTTACCTTCACTTAGAAGAGCCATTTGGGACATTTATTGATATCACGGGGGTTCATATGTCTTATTATAACATGAAGGCAATCAGTCAGCCAGCCATAGTAATTAACAGTATTGTTAATATTATATCATGTAGAACTGAGGCCACACTTCAGCCTTGCATCCGAGAGTGACACAGCTGATCCAGAAGACTTGGATGTAGAAGATGACCACGAGGAACCACCTTCAAATCAAACAGTCCGAAGACCTCAGGCTGTCGTGGAGGATGCTGTGGCTACCTCCGGGGTGAGCACACTCAGCTCCACTGTATCCCATGATTCCCAGAGTGCTCACCGGTCACTGAATGTGCAGCTTGGCAGGATGAAAATAGAAACCAATAGGTAAGACCTATGAGGACATGGGTTAGTTTGTTTTTTCTTACTTCTATAAAATGGCATGCATTTGGGGTCTGCTTTAAAAGTCTGGTCCAGCCAGACATGGTGGCGCATGCCTTTAATCCCAGAACTCGGGAGGCAGAGGCAGGTGGATCTCTGTGAGTCCAGCAAGGATGGTCTACATAGCAAGTTTCAGGCCAGCAGGGGCTACATAATGAGACCCTGTCTCAAAAATCAAAACAAAGCCAAGTAGAAGCTGGTCCACAGAGGATAGCTAATGTGATTTTGACATCCCATTAATGTAAACTTAGTTGACTGCTTTTCTTTATAAAACAAGTGAGGTTGATTTTAATCTCTTGGAAAATGATACTGTGCCTCTAGCAGTTCAAACTCTTTAGTAGCATTTGTTTGATTGCTGCTTTATCTCCAAGTACACTAGGATTTGCAGAATAACTGAGTTGTAACCTCATAAACTGTCTTGGAAACACAGACTCAGAGCAGCCTGCTCCCTTCCATAGATATCTGACAGAACAGAAAGCTTGTGATTTGGAATATCAAGTTCTTTTAGGAAAAGAAGACCTCAGTGCTCAGGGACGCAAAACTACACTTTGTACTCTGGAAGCTTGAAAAGATGATAAATGACCTCATTTGTGACTATTCTATTTTCAGTATATCTGGGCTTTAACTTGTCACTGAGAACATGGAGGATAGAACCCACACGATCAGGTTATTAAGTAAACAGTAAATGCTTCCTGTCCTTCACAGATGCTGGCACAGTTCAAGGTCTGAATCTTTATGATTTATAGCTTCCTGTGCTGGCTGCCGTTGACATGTGGGAAACTGACTTTATGGATCTAGGTTTACAATGAATCAATAAAAGTTGTTCAAATATTTAGAAACTTAACTGAAGATTCTAGTTGTTGACCAGAGTGCCAAAAAGTATCTTATTTCTTATTTTAAGTTTTTAAAAGTTAAGCTTTAATTTCAAACTTAGTATAAAGACCATCCTATATTCAGAAACATGAATTTTGGTTGTGTGATTTAGCAAATCCAAACCTGCTTATCGTCTATGATTTGCATGAGGAAATATCTTATAATAAAGGGAAATGGGCTCTGGTGTCCATATCTCAGTCTGGTCCTCTGACACCCAGCTCCACTGGCCATCTCTACTGTCCAGTGGAAACAAAGCAGAACAAAACAAAACAGAAAACACCTTGGGTTTTTTTCTCTTCTGGGACTTCATTTAAATCTTTGTGTCTCTCATTCCTCCTCTTCTTAAGCAGTAGTTCATTTTTAACAGCCCATCATTGCAGTGGGTGCTAATTTAGTCACTTCATTTTACTCTGCCACCCAGTCCTGACTGGAGTTAAATTTTGGTGTCTGGAGGGGGAAGGTTCCCTTGTTGCTGTGCTGGTTGGTTCATCCCTCCCTACCCACAGCTCTGGTCAGAATGATACTGACAGGAAAAGCTACTCTGTTTACCAAAGAGCTGGTCTGGCTGCTTCTCTGTTCCTGAAACCTGTCTCCCAGCCCTGGCTATGTCAATAGGACTTGCCTCTCTGAACACGGCCTGGATGCATGTGCGACTTCTCTCCTTTGCCCATTTGGCTGACCTCATGCTCATTACCTGGCACAGTCTTCTCCACCGTGTTTCTGACATCAGTGGTTTCCGGGGCGGGGGCCACTCTTTTCCAGCTATTTTCTTCACATCTTCACATGCCTCTTCTGAGGTTCTCTGGGCCTCACCTGAAGCCTCAGTTCTCAAAATCTGCCCATCTCTGTTGGGAATAATTTGCCATGTTTCTTTACTACATTACTGCCTAGCTATGTTTTTGCAATAATCCACACATTTCTGTTTTCTTTACATACCAACAGTTGAATCTGTGAAATCTAAAGATTATTGGCTTTATCTTTCTTTTATCAGTAATATTTCCCACAGCTCCTCATGAGCATCTGAAAAGTGAGATGAGGTACAATGTTTTCCTCACAAATGATCTGAAGAGGCACAGCTGGTGTAGTAAGCGCGCAGCAGCAGAAAGCAAGGACGGCATGTCTATATTGGATCGTAAATGTTTTCAGTTGAATGTTATTTCTTCATTTTTTTCTACTTTTTCAGTTCTTTAATGTGGGGTCTCATGTAGCCCAGGCTGATCTCAAGCTCAGTATGGAACTGCACATTCCCTTGAACTCCTGATCTTCCTGCCTTTACTTCCCAAGTGCTGCGATTATGTCACTACATTTGGGTTCAGTTGAATGTCATTATGGGAGTATAGCTCAGTGATAGGATGCTTCCCTAGCATGTGCAAGGCCCTTGGTTCAAACCCTAGCCCCTTCACCACACACAAAGTGTGTGTGTGTGTGTGTGTGTGTGTGTGTGTGTGTATGTGTGGTGGTGTTGAATGAATGTGGAGGAAACGTGCGTATTTTTATATGTGGGTTGTAGCTCTTGTGTTAAAAATCTGAAGCTTAAGGGCTAAAGGGATGGCTTGTCCCACAGGCTTGAGGACATTAGTTCAATCCCGAGCTCCCACATAAAAGCCAGGCACAGTATCACACACCAGGAATCCCACTGCTGGGGAGGTGGAGATGGGATTATCGTTGCTGCTTGGTGCCCAGACATTCTACTGGAATTAGTGAACTCCAGGTTTGGTGAGAAACCCCATTACAAAAAAATAAAGTGAAAAGTAATTGAGAAAGATACCCTACATTGACCTCT